AAAGAGAGAGAAAGAGAGAGAAAGAGAGAGAAAGAGAGAAAGAGAGAAAGAGAGAAAGAGAGAAAGAGAGAAAGAGAGAAAGAGAGAAAGAGAGAAAGAGAGAAAGAGAGAAAGAGGGGAAAAAAACAAACATTTAAATGCTGCAAAAACAAGTACCCAGAAAATGTTCAAGTGATCAATAATTTGTTTCTTGGATCAATGCCTCAACTACCCCCCACTAAATTGCTATGCGAATGAAGATGCATTTTTTCTTGAAAAATATCTCAAACTAAAATAACTGCCTGAGAAATGTAAGTCTGCAAAGTTATAGGTAATAGATAAAAATGAAGCATAAAGCTAAAGCAACAAAACCCAGTGTATCCAGTCTCCAACAATGCTTCACTGTAGCCCAGTTCAAATTATTTTGAAAACCAAACCAAGGATCCCATGAATGTGATAAGAACCTTAAGCAACAAGGAATGAAAATGGATGAAGGAAAATGTTAATCTTCTGATTATGGAATGAAAATATTAATTACGAGACGGCTCTGAGCATTCAATTCATGCTTTTTAAATAATTTCTGATTTTTATCTCTCTGGCTGTCTCTCTCTGCTATTCTTTTTTACAAAGCTTTTATTAGTCTTGCTCACATCAATACCTGTGATTTTTAAGAATGCAGTAGTAAAACATACACCATGAAGCAGTCTGCGCTTGTCTGAACGCTTAAAAACTGGCAAAGCTACAAATAGATCTGTTTTCCAGTCTTGAAAAGTCTAGTCTGATTCATGGTTTAAAAACACGGAGGAAAATTACTTCTATTTTGCCAATATTCCTGAAGCGCCTTTCATTGTTTTTAGGCAGCTTACCACTTTTAGGAGTTCAATAAAGCCCAATTGGCTTAATATGAAAAATCAGATTAAGGCTTAGAATAAATTGCATTCTGTGTTCTTTAATCAAAAAAGGCCTTCAAGTCAGATCATAATAATCACCCACCTGCAGAGCAAGCCAAACCTGCCTCTAGTGCTTTTCATATTTAACCTAATTCTCATGGCAAACACCTCCCCTCCCTGGCACATAACATAGTCCTCTCAACCCCAAACAGGCTACACAGTGCAGTTGATGACTTTCAGGACTAGGTCGTCTGTGGACACTTCTAAAGACCCCTTGAAAGATGAAGTGAGGCCACTCAATCATGAAAAATTTAAGTGCTTATATTTCAGTGCTCGTGTTTTAAATGATGGTGTCTTTTAACAAATTAGGAGGCAACGAATGTTAAATGTTTCATGACAGGTTGTATTACAAAGCTCTGAGCCAGGTTTGATGCTCCATCTACTTCTGCCTGTGCTGACAGAAGAGTAGCTCTGAAACTGGAGAATTCCAGTTGTCAGAGCAAACTTTGTCCAAAGAGCTGCTCACCAGAAGGAAAGGTGGTAATATATGACGAGAATTAATTATTTAGCATAGTCCAAAGGGAAAGCTCCTAAGATTTGCCAAAAAATAAAAAAAAAAAATTAGCTGACGGAAAGTAAAACACTTACCACAAAGCATGTTGGACACTGCGTTTTGTAGGACAAAAACTTGCGTATACAAAGGGAACAATCTGGAAAAAGGAAATATGTATTTTTTTAAACAGGCATTCTTCCAAATGCAGTTCAACATCTTTACTAGTATATCTGATTTGTGTACAATATACGTAAATTATTCCACAATACCCCAATATTGAAAATACACCATTTTTCCATGGAAATAAGCTTACCATTGTAGCAAAAAAAAAAATATCCATATTTTACGCAAGCATCTTTCAAGATTTAATCTCAGTCCCTCTGTCAAAAGCAGGAGTTTACTTTTGTTTCTTTAACACAAGACAAGAAAACCTTAGTCTGCTACCACTATAAAAGCAGTGTGTTTGAACTGCTCACTCCCCCACCACTGCTTTCTTTTAACATGACTGATGCTGGATCACTTCCATCTTCCTGCATGGCCCCAGACAAACTCTCTATCCCCTCTTTTTCCCAGGTGTTTCTTCCCCTTTCCAAAACAATACCAAACTGTTGCTGAGGGAAAAGGCTAAAAAGGAGGGAAAACAGCACTGGAGTACTAACTGAGAAACAACTTAAATGTTTCTCAGGAAAAGCAAGTCGTATCATCAGCACAGGATGTTTCAGTAGACTCTGGTGAAATATGCCATAAACTTCATTTTGTCACAGTAAATTCCTGCAGTTATTCTACTTTCTCTACTTATCTATGATCTTTCATGACCACATCAAGATATAAAAGGTTTCATCACTCTCCAGCAACACAGACATTTGCTCACTAGATCATTATGGTCAGTCTCAGCACTTAACCCGTTTAGCCACAGCTACCTAAGCAGATGTATTTCAAACTCTCTGTGTAGTCTGGAAAGCAGCAGGAGCATTAATGCACTAATTCAACACTTAAAAACACAAATCCATCTAAATATCCAAAGATTACATTATATAGTTGTCCTGGTTCAGCTAGGATAGGGTTAAGTTTCCCCAGCAGGAGGAAGGGATCTCCAGCGGGTTATTCATACCATGCTGAGGTCAGGTCCTGCATGGCAGCGTGGGAAGCTTTCCTTTGTGGCTTTGGTCGCAGGGAGCACGCGCAGAGGGCTGGATGTGTTCACTGCGGTATTTCTCTGTATATCTTCTGTCTTGTTTACTGTCATTACTGTTTACTGTTGTTATTATTGCTATTGTTGTTGTTCAGATTGTTTATTACACTGTTGTATTAAATATTTTTCTGATTTCAACCTCAGAGTTTGTGCCTAACTTCCAACTCTGACCGGCTGAGGGTGGGGGAGGGACAATGGCAACGTGGTCTCCGGTCCCGGCAGGGCCTAAACCATCCCAATAGTAAAATGTGATATGGGGGGAGAAATTCATTAAAAAAAAAAAAAAGAAATAAACTTTGACTGTATGAATGTGAATCAACTGAACCAGCATCCGACACCCCACCACATTCAGTAGGCAATGGGGCCAACCTACGTTTGCAGCCATCGCTGCTCACAGCCAGGGTAGCTGAAGGATAATAAATCACAAATTCTTTGCATTAATGGTTGTGCCTAGGGCCGGCTCTGGGCCAGTGCAGAGAAGACAATGGCCTCAAAATTCTCTGTCCTCATCTCTTCTCTCCCCCTTGACTCCTCTTCCTGTGGCAGAAATAGCTCTGCCATGGCTCAGGTCTCAGCCTGCCATTCCTGGGGTAACAAAACACCATTCCTGGGGTAAACAAAACAGGTCTCTTGTCTACTGTAGATGCCACACACACCAAGAGTTGAATGGTGCCACTAAGGTCACTTCCACCTGCACCAACAGACCAAACACACCTGTAAAACTGCATCTACCAAACTAATTCTAAGACACAACTGCAGCCCCGTATTTCAGTATATAGAAGAGAATCCCCAAGTATGAATTTAAGCCGACAACCATCACTGGATACTTAATGACAATGACAGAATGAAAGCATACAAGTCACTGCCAGCAAATAAAAATCTCTACTGAGTTTAACCTAGAAGTAGCAAGGTTATAAGAAAGAGGAATAAAACAAGCTTGGCACAAGAAAAGTCAATAGTGCCACAATTTACACACCACACTTTGAAGACCATAGGTGTTTTTTTTAAATGAGCAAGTAATTCTGAAACCTGCTTAGCTGGAAGCATAATAGTAACTTCAGGGATTTAAAGAAAGGAAAATCCTGGATGAAAAAAAGAGCTCCCTCCAACAGGTATAGCCACAGACACATCAATAAAACCTAAAGCACTGTGAAAGTTGAACAACTACTGTCAAGAGAGCTACTGAATGCTACCAGCCATCCAAGAATGAGCAGAGGAGGAATTTTTAACTTGCTGTAGATGCAACCATTATAGGGATGTTTAGAAGCCTTGTAATAGATTATTAACATCATTAAGAAAAGGAGAAACAGAAAAAAAAATTGCAAACAAATGTGTTCATCTATTCACAAATAATTTCTCACTAATGGCAGAGGGCTTTTTCCTTCAATTGTACAATCCCAGTGGTCTGAAGATATTACACAGAGACAACTGAGTAGAAAATACTTCAAGAAATCTTGATTTATTGTAGAAAACTTAGGCTTTCTGCAATTTGCAGGGGGAAATTAGACGTGTAATCTGTTAAAAAAAAAAATAAGGTAGACAGTTTCTTTTCAAAGTTAAGGGCCTCTGAGCCCAGCTGTGTCACAAGCAGGCTGTAACACCAGCTACTGTAGAGAATTTCCAGTGCTCCCCATCATAAATATGTTCTTTTCAATAGTGATAGTTTTACCAAGCTAAACTAAATTTCATTGCCAAACTACAATGTCCTCCTTTGTGTAAGGAAGAGGAAGTGCTGTAGTTTCTGAACAAAACAATTTTAAGATTTTAACACAAGAAAAGGCAACATACTTCCTCCTAATCTAGCTTTCAATAAACTGCTTTGCTACCACATTCCAGCAGATACCAGCCTGAGGCACACAGAGCAGCATGGAAAATTTTAGCTCGTAACACTTAATGCTCTCTGCCATATGGCTTTGTATTTTGTTCCCCCCCCTCAAGATATTATGAAAGCTATTAATTGAAGAATTGTAGGAATAGGGGGTGTATAAATGCATTAATCCAGACAACATGTGTTTGTCCTGTCAGAAGGTTGCAACCATAACCACGAGGAAGGGTTGCTGGCTGCTTCACATCTTTTACCCAAAAGAGCTTCTCAGAGGTAAGTGTCCTCGCTGGCTAAGCTGCAAGTAGAAGAGCTATGTATTTTATAAAGGAAGATTGGTAACCTCTGCTCTACATGCCAGTAAATAATAAATGGTCAAATGATGACTTGTCTCTGAAACTCTAAAGGAGAAAACCCTTTTTAGAGAACATTTTTCAATAGTTTTGTCACTCATCTCAGGTGCAAAAGGATTTTGCAAGCCCACAGGGCCCATAAGGTCGTTGTGCTTCCTGGGCAAGATGTATGAAAACTAAACCATTCACTCCTAATTTCTCTGAGTACACCTTCTTCAACCCTACCTGTCTGCCTTAATCTGCCAACTGAACGATGTCAGGCTTAAACGGAGCCACAGGGCCAAGACACACTCCCATCACTGCCACCCCAGTACTCCCTGGAATGTATGGCAAGGGGCATTTATGTGAAATACATTAATACTAAATTCCACAGTCACATGATAGAGTAAGGAGCAACCTCACCACCCATTTATTGACTTACCACAAATGCCCCACTTACCTTTGCTCCTACTCCAGCAATTTTTCTTTAAACTGCTGTTTCTGTGCACTTTTTATTAAAACTCAAGAAAATTTAAACTACAAGCAACAAGCCAATAGTGAGGTATTAACTGACCCTGTGTAAAATACATCATTCAGAGGAGAGAAGGCCGATTTACAGTGAAAAGGAAGTAACAGTTTTGTGTCGACCTCTACGAACGCAGCTGGCACTGATGAACTCCGCACACGAGAGAGGAGGATGGGATGAACAAGATCTTTCCGCGCGGCCGTACTCACAGTTATGCGAACACTGTGGAATGATCATGGCGATGCTGAAGTAATCGAAGCATATCCCGCACCGCAGCAGGTCATCCACCGCCTGCAAGGGAAAGCCCAGCTCACCCACCGCTGCCGGCGGGGCCCCGCACCCGCGGACCAAGGTCCCCCAGCCGCCCTCCCGCAGGCCCCGCCGCGCCTCACGCACCTTCAGCGAGGACAGGCTCTGCGGCCACGGCGGCTCGGGCAC